CCTTCCCCCTCCTGCTGCCACATTGCTGGAAATGCTTTGCCAGTCCAGAAACTAGTACAAGTAGAGAGCAAATAATCATTTGTGGCAGCCAGCTAGGGTAGAGGGAGGGCAGTATATAAGGAGGCTTCAAATCCTTTTTCCCATTACGCTGGATAGACTATACCTAATTTTTTGTCCCAGGCCAAAACAGCCCTGGGACATGGCCAGGAGCCCAGCACCTGCTTTTCCCAGAATGGCAGGGATACAAAATGATGTTCTTATCTGCAGGCATTGAATCCTCTTCTAGCACAGCTTGAAGACAAGGGATACAACATTTCCCCAAAGAGCTTCTCAGCTCATAGTGGGGCCACACCTGTAAGAGATGAGAGTTGAAACCCTTCCTCCACTATGGTGGGTAAGAGCAGGGGTTGCCCTAAAAACTACTTACTGTAGCAGTGAATTTTATAAACCCAGATCATTTAGTGGGGCTGGTGGATCAGACTATACATCTGTCCTCTGCACATACCGAGCACCAGAACTTTCCCAAGAAAAGCACAGGGTGTACGATGAAAGGGCACAATGCAATTGCATTCTCCCCAGACACAAGTTTCTTCCTAATTCTCATCAGTTCCTGGTTGGATTTTGCCTTGAAGCTGAAGGGCTTGTATCTTTTATAAGAAGTGTTCTATCTCCACAACAGTCCAGAGTTCTCCTTAATAACATTCACGTTAAAAAAGAAAAGAGAAGAAGAGAGAAGAGGAGAGGAGAGGAGAGGAGAGGAGAGGAGAGGAGAGGATAGGGGAGAGGAGGGGAGGGAAAAGAGGAGAGAAAAGAGAAGAGAAGAGAAGAGAAGAGAAGAGAAGAGAAGAGAAGAGAAGAGAAGAGAAGAGAAGAGAAGAGAAGAGAAGAGAAGAGAAGAGAAGAGAAAAAAGGAAAGAAAAAGAAAAAGAAAAAGAAAAAGAAAAAGAAAAAGAAAAAGAAAAAGAAAAAGAAAAAGAAAAAGGAAAAGGAAAAGGAAAAGGAAAAGGAAAAGGAAAAGGAAAAGAAAAAGAAAAAGAAAAGGAGAAAAAGATGTAATTAGGACAACCTAATCAGGTTCAAATTAGATCAACACATTCTGGTAACACATGTAGCACTTTTGCTGGACATGCGGTCTCTCCTGAGCCTGAGTGCTCCCTGAGCCTGAGTGCTCCCTAAGGTCCTACTCTGTCAGGGCCATCCCACCAGCACTGTAACGTGCAAATAGCAACAGCAGCAACCAACAGCACTGCAGACCCAACCATTCCTGGTAAATCCCACTGTCACCAGCTGGGGACAAAGGCTTATGGACTCACAGCAACTCGAGCTTTTTAAAAATGATTATCAGGTTTGATTGGGCTTTGGGGCTAGCCGCTACAAGATCTCAGACTCCCTTTCCCCCCTTGCAGTCCAGACACTCGAGGGCAGTGAGAGCATCCCAAATCTGTGCCACCCAACACTCCAGCACTATGCCTGCAAGGCCTCATCGTCCCGATACTGTCAGTAGGTGCCAACACAAACAAGAAACAGTGAGCACAGCACGGATGGGGGAAATGGCCTTCTCCCTGCATGCCGATGGAGATGGAGCGGCCCGTGGCACCGGCCCGGCAGCCCCTCCTTAACCGAGAGGCACCGAGCCGGGACGGCAGACCGCCGCAGGTGCAGAAAAGCCACGGAGCTTGAGTCTCCCCACAGATTTCCTATGTTCCTTCCAAAGTCACAATATTTTAATTGATATTTCTTGTGAGAATTCAACAGGTGCAACATAAATCCCACGGATTGTGCTGAATCCCACAAAACCTTGATTTTCATTTTGGAAGGAGCAGGGGGAAGAGGAGTTTTCTTGCTCTTTGGGTTTTTAGCCTTGAGCTACATGAGACAGAAAAAATGCTGTATTTGCTCAAAGTGCTGCCAGATTAAAATAAGCAGCTATTCGTCTTATTTTTCTGAAAGGATGGTTAACTCATTGAGAAAAACTCATTGGCTGTTACAACACATTCAATTATAGCAGAATTACAGTAGGGACAAACTTGGCTTTTCCTTAGACATCCTGGAGTGGGGGGCAAAAGCTTCCACATCCATTTCTGCCCCTTCAGACATACTCAGCAAAGCCGATGGGACAGCAGCAGTGTCAGGAAAAGAACCTCTGGATTTATGGATACACACTAGAACCCTGTTAAAAAGTTAACAAACCCTTTCTGCCATAGTTTCAGTTGTGAGGTGAGAGGTAGTAGTGGTAATGAAGGTAGATGTCACACCATTTGATTTCTCTAGCATTAAGTCGTGATATATCTCCTCTTGGTTTACTCTCTACTTGACCAATGGCTCAATATCTTCGGGGCTCCACATGGTGCATAGATTAACAGTGAACAGATAGGGAGGCAGATGTTGGAAATAAAGACAGCCTTCCACTTCTCGATTTTGCAATTGTCCATGTATAATATTTCTCTAAGAAAATTCCTGATAAGGGTTTGTTAGCGGGTTCGGAGGGGTTTATGTTTTTGTATTAAAAAAGTTTTGTAAAATGTTAATCCTCCCCAAAACTTCAGACCACCTAAGAAGACCATATTTCTAGCACTTAGAAAGTGAGCAAGCTGATAAACTGCAAATCTGTGTGTTCTTCTCCACACTCCTGTACCCACTTCTCTGCTCTTTTACCTCATTTGCAGTTTGGCTTGAGTGCCTGGCATGGGTCCTGCACTGACACCAGGCTAGTCTGATAGTCCCCTACAGGAAGGAACAGAGGTCTATCTGCTGATAGATGTCTATCAACTGATGGATGAGGTTTACACCTTTAGGAAAAAAGCTTTTTTCTTTTAAAATCAATACTAATGCTCAGCACCACAAGAACAGCAACAATAAAATTGCTGGTAGTGGTAATATAATGCTAACATTGATAATAATAATAAAGAACTTTAATGAGAACATACTGAAGATCTTTAAATCCTATAATACTAATTTCTCTTAGCAGAGTGAGACGTGATTTTTAAAGCAGAAATAACAAACTAGGTAGAAGGGACAATCCTTCCGTTCTTTCCATTATACGTACCAAAGGGGAAGAAATGGTGCTTTTTTTTTTCCACAGAAAATCTGAGATTTTTCACTGAGGATGAAAAGTTGAAATCTCAAACATTTTTGTAAATTAAAATCTAAAACCACCCCAAACACAAAATATGGATCAACACAAGCAAAACACTTACCTTACTCCTCCGTGGTGCCTTTTGCCAAGGTATATCTTGGCTTAAAAGCAGACCAAAAAAATCCCATTGAAAAAAACCCCACACTTTAAAATATATGCTTAGGTGTTTAAATACATTATGCTAACTTTCTAAACATTTTTCCTGTTTTTTAAACAAAAAATGATGAAAATGGATGTTCTCCAACAAACAGTGCATGTTCACGAATCCAGAATTTTTGACAAAAAGACAATTTTGGGGAAATTCCTGCTTAATTCTAAGTCATCTTTGCCCTCCTCTAGAAGCCCAAGGAACTCTAATACTTGATAGTTTATCTGTCTCTAGCCCTGAGATGAGATTGATACACCTGATTTTGGAAGAGACGGTGACAGTAAAGCCCTGCTCTGAGGAGTAGGAGAAAGACCAGCACTTCTCCAGAGGGAATTGCTGTGAGATGTTCTGCTGAGTGACTGAAGCAATGTAGGGGGATCCAAAGAGAGTGGGACCAGGCACGTTCCTCCTCATTTCCCCCTAACAAAGCAGATTTATCTACATTTATAAAGAACACAAAGCCGAGAGAATGCTACCTAAACTTTAGGGAGCAAATGGAAAGTTTAGATAAAAGTCTTTCAAGGAGAAATAATGAGCAGAAGTACAGTAGAAACAGTTGCTATATGGATAAGGCAAAATATTTGACAAGGAAAACATCTCTGAGAAGAAAGCACAAGGGTAGAGCTATTATAGCCTTTTCCCTCAGACTTCTTATTTTATAACATATTTCTAAAACACAACACCCACAACTGTTTTTCTTCATCTATCAAAGCATAAAATTGCCAGTCCTTTGACCTAACTTAAATGAAGGAAGTAGCAATGTTAGGTTTAATTAAAAACAGCAAATATTTGTACAGCTGTCCCTGGTTTCACAGCACAGAAATAGGTTTAGCATAAAATCTTACAGTTTTAAATCCTCTGGGAACCATATACAAAAACATATAGGATCCTTCTGGCTGACTTTCCAAAGCCAGAAATGCCTTTTTTTGGAGTTATTTCAGGTGGGGCTCATTCAGCCTTCCCGTTTCCAACCCACTGTTTTCCTACTTGAGATGTTTTTTTTCCTTTTTCCGTGCTCCAAATGCGGTACTGTCAGCTTTGACAGGTTTGGATGCATTTGATGCATTTTGGGGTTGTGAATAATAATAATAGTAATAAAACTGAGGGTAGGCTGAGAAGTTTTGACTTAGCAGCAGCTGTAGGTTTTTGATGGAAACTCTGATGGCTGGGCCTGGCTGGGCATTTCCAGGGGTCTCTGCCTGTTGGTGTGGGTGTCACTGGGAGCCACCTGGTGCAGGATACGGGAGCATCAACCAGATCTGCACCGAACATCTCTGAAACCGGGAGGGGTTTGGAATGAAAGGTTTTGCTCCTGGCCCTTGCTCTCCTTTTAAATTACACATTGAAACACATTGTAAAATCCTTCAGCACCGAGCTTTATAACACAGCCTCCGGAGGGCTGACTCCACGCGCACCCCACCCCCTTGGACGGGTGAGCCTTGGCAAGCTCTCTCCCAGCAGGGACCACGGGAGGATTTACACCGCCTTGTGCAAAAGGCTCGGTGGCTCCGAGCTCTGCACCCACCCGCCAGTCCCTCCCGGGGACCTGCAGGTTTCAACTTGCCGAAGCCAGCCCGGGGGGGGCTGGAGAGGCGGGTGGGGTGGGTGGCCACCCACCATGGGGCCAGAGATAAGAGGGAAGAGGGAGGGAAGGGGCCAAATTGGGTTTAAAAAGCCGCACTCAGGTCTGGAGCGGGAAGGGAGATAGGAAGGCTGATGGCCGGTCCAGCCACTCTGCTTGTGTCTGTCAGGCACCAGGCAGGGGCTCTTCGCACCCTCCAGGCTGCTGCAGGCCCCCATCCTCCCCGCAGCCCCCCGCAGCCTTCCCACACCCAAACCTTCAGCGCCAGCAGGTCTGGCACAGCTTGGCACAGCCTGGCAGAGGAGATGGAGGTGTCCGAGCCTGGTGGGGCTCAGAAGCTGGAGGAAGAGAGAAAAGCCCCAGGGAAAAGCCCTAAGGAAGGAGAAGAGAGTGGAAACCTATCTCCTCTCAGCCCAGGCAAGCCCAGGCCAGAGAGGCTGGCCCGGCCAGGGCTGGTGAGGTGTGAGACGCTTCGAGAGATGGCTCTGCGCAGCAAGATGTCCCGACTAGTAGAAGCGACTTCCCAGCTTGTACAAGTAGAACAGACTCTCCTGCTCCCTCTCCTACAGCAGCATCCTCTTCTTCTCCATCCAAAAGTAAGTAAGAGACAGAAGTACACTCATCTCGGGCTTTTGGCAGAAGGGCAGTGGACTGCACCCATAATTGCACGTGCTGGGTCTTGCCATGTGGACTGGAAGAGTTTCATTTACATTAATATTCAATTAAGTAATTTAAGCCTACAGGCTGCCAAACAGAAAGCTACTGACAGTTCAGTGTAGTTGCATCACAGGGGTTCAGGGGATAAAAACACTTTTTGGCAGAATGAAGGCTTACTGACATGCTGAGTAGCCTGGAAAGATTATCTAGAGCTTTTTCAGAAGCCAGCTTTATATGTCTAAATTTCTATAAATGCACATAAAGTCTTAAACTATAAAGCTATTCTCCAGTTCTAAAAGAGCCAAAAAACAACACAAGATGCAGAGATGACCGGTAACCTGCAAGTGAAACATGACCGACCTGCAGAGCCCATGGTTGTTCCAGATTGACATGCTATATATCCAGCATATGAGACCCAATGAACATATACCTGAAAAAAATCCTCAATTTTCCGATAAATACAATGGGTTTGCATATTACTCCAGGAAGAATTCTAAGAAAAAGCCTAGGTATGGGCATGCAATTCATGGGTTTAGTTGTTGGAGTCCAATGTGTCTCCTGTGTCTTGTTCCAAGTCAGTTTACTTTGGCATTGCCCAAAAGGTCTTTGCCTTATGATGAGTCTTGGGTGTACCATGTAGAACAGGATGGCTGTTCTTATCCAATTTTTAGCACCAAAGGTGCATGCCACAGAAACCCCATTAGCAGTAGACACCAATTGCTGGGCCAGCTGAGCTAAAACTAGAATCTGCTCTTTTGCTTTTATGCCAACCTTCCCAGCACTGACCAGCACAATGTGGGAAGCTGGGGGATACTGAAGCAGCAAAGATGTAACCACTTAAAGTCTCATCTGGTGGATAAATATTTGTGAACAAAATTTTACTATGACTTCTGGTTTCTCAGTATCTTGGTGATGAATTTGAGATATTGCAAGATACTGTTTTTACATCTGCTAGATCATTGTACTGAGTCCAGCTGGCTTTGTGATTGTTCATGATTTGTTAAAAATCAAATCCAAGCTATCTCAAGTCAAGATACAACTTACTCATAAACTCAGTCACCAAGAATCATAAGCAACCTTTGAACATTTGCGTCCAAATATTTTCAGTCTCCAGGAATATTCAGCTAAGAGTCCACCAGGAATAAATACACCTAGAAAGGGAAGGGGTGATATTGGAAGCTATGCATGACATAAAAAAAGTGTGTTAAAAATCACATTAAATTGTTAGACATTATTCTTAAAAAATGAGAGTACAGTGACAGGTTGGACTTCTGCAATACCAGTTTTCCAGTAAGACTCCTTCATTGCTCGTAATTTAAAATAAACAAGGCTAATGACATTTGTTTGTTTTACAAACAAATGCTAGCTTGATGAAATACAGCCACCTCAGCAAAGGTTTTATTTTCTTCCTCTTCTTTCCCAGAACCACTTTAATATCTACTTGTATGAAAGCATGTGTTTAGATACCACTGGGAATACGGTTTACTTTGGATTCTGATTTTCCTATTCTACTTGAAGCTAAGTTAGGTCCTTTTTTCACTGAAAACCCATTATCATGACCAGCTGAGCTCTGGGACTTTCCCCTCTTCCCTTCTACAATGAGGTTACATAAATTCTGCACTAGGTTTCCTCAGACCCTGTGTCACGGATAACCGACCCCTTTAATTGCGAGTAGTTTCGCTGCTGCAGATTTGATTTTGAAGTAAATTGGATTCCAAGGGATCCATTTCTATTATAACCTGTTCATAAATTTAGATGAACAAGCCCTTAAAAATAAGCTCTAAGCCAATGAGTTGGCCAAAGTCCCTTCATAATGGCAGCCCGTCCACTCACCGTTTTTGAAGGAAAGGTCTGGGTTTATGTCTCAGAGACACTCACTCACACTAGTAGTCAGTATTTGATACTTCTCATTTATTGCTATGGTTATGTCTCTTTCAGTTCCTTCTTGACAATCCTGACTTTCCTGTTTTCCATTTGTTTTGGTGTTTTTCCTTGTTTTCCTTTTATTGGTTTATGGTATCAATATTGGTTTATCAGCTGAACTGGTTCAAAAAATCACTCTATAAAATGGTCCCAAAGCAGACAGACATAAGGTTGAAGAAAAAACAGATTCAAGGAATGGAAAGGACAACACTGAAATAACTCATCCCCTGTAGGTACTGGGAACAATGCTTTCTGCTGTGCCCTAGTGCCCATTAGACAGTGCTAGTCCGCAGCAATTAAAATGTAGGTGTTAATTTCTGATGAAAAGTGACACCCTCACAAGAATTTGGAGCAAATCCTTTACTAGCGACAGTAAGCACGTTGTTACTGATTTTGCCTGCAGTACGACTGCAAAGGGACTGCTTAGCCAAAGGGTCTACGTGCAGATGGGGAAGGGTGAGGGGCCTCTTCCCCCACATCTCGGGACCCAGGTGACCACGTTGCCCCGCTGCCTAACCAGCTGCTTACTGGCATTTCTCCCACAAGCAAACTCCTCGTGCCTTCTGCCTCCACAAAGACGCCCTGTAATAATGTCCGCGTTTTCTCTCTCCTGTAATTACACTGCCAAGGTGAACATAACGGCCTTTTTTTTAACAGAGATTCTGTATTTTAAGCAGCAATGTGAGTGCATTTGAAAAGGAAAAATACAAGGTATAAAAGCTTCCCGAAATAGCAACGTGCGGCTTGCCCTGGCTGTGCTCAGGTGCAGCTATGTATTACTCCAGCTTTTTGATAACATCCTGTCTCCTGCGCTGAAGTTACCGAGGGGTCACAAGGACGGTACTAAATCAGAAATATGTAGTGGATTGGACTGGGCCAATCTCGACAGCAGCCAGCAGGGAATGGAATATAAATCATGCTAAGAAGTTAAAATAGCCATCCCATTTGCAAAACAGTCATGGTATTTTTGTTAAGGGGGAAAAGAAAATAGTGTCCTTAAAAGGTGCCAGATTGGCAGGGCGGGATAATAAAAAAACTTCTGACTGTGCAAGTTTCTCCTGCCCCATATGTGCCGTTGCTTTGCCCAGTGTGGAGGAAGAAGGTTGGGGTGGCAGGCTCGGTGCTCCTACCCAAAAGGAGCAGCAGCAGCAGACCTGCACATCCACCTGTAGTTCCCTTGCCCTGGATGTCCTGTCAAGGTGAAACAGTACAGTTGCTGTGAACAGAGAGCTTTGGCTGGCACTCAGGAAAGAAAGGAGAGTTTATGAAGTTTGGAAGAAGGGGCAGGCAACTCAGGAGGACTACAAGGATGTCATGAGGTTATGCAGGGAGAAAATTAGAAGGGCCAAAGCCCAGCTAGAACTTAATCTGGCTACTGTCATAAAAAACAATAAAAAATGTTTCTATAAATACATTAGCAACAAAAGAAGGGCTAAGGAGAATCTCCATCCTTTCTTGGATGCAGGGCGAAACACAGTGACAAAGGATGAGGAACAGGCTGAGGTACTTAATGCCTTCTTCACCTCAGTATTTAATAGCAAGACCAGTTGTTCTCGGGGTACCCAGCACCCTGAGCTGGAAGACAGGGATGGGGAGCAGAAGGAAACCTCCCTAATCCAAGGAGGAATGGTTAGCGACCTGCTACACCACATAGACACACACAAGTCTATGGGGCCAGATGGGATCCACCCAAGGGTACTGAGGGAGCTCACCAAGCCACTTCCCATCATCTGTCAGCAGTCCTGGCTAACCAGGGAGGTCCCAGTTGACTGGAGGTTAGCAAATGTGACGCCCATCTACAAGAAGGGTTGGAAGGAGGATCTGGAGAACTACAGGCCTGTCAGCCTGACCTCAGTGCTGGGGAAGGTCATGGAGCAAATCACCCTGAGTGTCATCACGTGGCACATATGGGACAACCTGGGGATCAGGCCCAGTCAGCATGGCTTTATGAAAGGCAGGTCCTGCTTGACTAAGCTGATCTCCTTCTATGACAAGGTGGCCTGCTCAGTGGATGAGGAAAAGACTGTGGATATTGTCTACCTAGACTTTAGTAAGGCCTTTGACACTGTCTCCCACAGCATTCTCCTGGAAAAACTGGCTGCTCGTGGCTTGGATGGGCGTACTCTTTGCCGGGTAAAAAACTGGCTGGATGGCCAGGCCCAAAGAGTTGTGGTGAATGGAGTTAAATCCAGTAGGCAGCCCGTCACAAGTGGTGTTCCCCAGGGCTCAGTGTTGGGGCCAGTTCTGTTTCATATCTTTATCAATGATCTGGGTGAGGGGTTTGAGTGCACCCTCAGTAAGTTTGCAGATGACACCAAGTTGGGTGGAACTGTCAATCTGCTGGAGGGTAGGAAGGCCCTACAGAGGGACCTGGACAGGCTGGATCGTTGAGCCGGGGCCAACTGTACGAGATTCAACAAGGCTATGGGCCGGGTCCTGCACTTGGGTCACAACAACCCCATGCAACACTACAGGCTGGGGGAGGAGCGGCTGGAGAGCTGCCTGTCAGAAAAGGACCTGGGGGTGTTGGTTGACAGCCGCCTGAATATGAGCCAGCAGTGTGCTCAGGTGGCCAAGAGGGACAATGGTATGCTGGCTTGTATCAGAACTAGTGTGGCCAGCAGGACTAGGGAAGTGATTGTTCCCCTGTACTTGGCACTGGTGAGGCTGCACCTGGAGTACTGTGTTCAGTTTTGAGGCCCTTCACTACAAGAAGGACATCGAGGTGCTGGAGCGTGTCCAAAGAAGGGCAATGAAGCTGGTGAATGGTCTAGAGCACAGGTCTTATGAGGAGTGAATGAGGGAGCTGGGGCTGTTTAGCCTGCCGAAAAGGAGGCTGAGGAGAGACCTTATTGCTCTCTACAACTACCTGAAAGGAGGTTGTAGCCAGGTGGGGGTCAGTCTCTTCTCCCTAGGAAGGAGTGATAGGATGAGAGGAAACAGCCTCAAGCTGCGCCAGGGGAGGTTTAGGTTGGATATTAGGAAAAATTTCTTCACCGAAAGGGTTGTCAAGCCCTGGAACAGGCTGCCCAGGGAAGTGGTTGGGTCCCCATCCCTGGAGGGATTTAAAAGACGTGTAGCTGTTGTGCTTAGGGACATGGTTTTGATATCCTGCAGAAAGTGACCCAAGGGAGAACAGTGCATTGCCTCTGCTAAGCCTGCCTGCAGCTGTGCCAGCCACAGGCTTTGTTTTCCTGCTATATCGAGACCCATCCCTGGGAAACAAAACAGAAACCACAAGCTCATTGCAGGGCCAAACAATAGCACAGCATCAGGCATTGCCATGGTTTTGATATCCTGCAGAAAGTGACCCAAGGGAGAACAGTGCATTGCCTCTGCTAAGCCTGCCTGCAGCTGTGCCAGCCACAGGCTTTGTTTTCCTGCTATATCGAGACCCATCCCTGGGAAACAAAACAGAAACCACAAGCTCATTGCAGGGCCAAACAATAGCACAGCATCAGGCATTGCTGACTTTGGCCACAGGTGAACTGAAGACCTGAAGATGTCCTGCTCCTCAGGAGAAGAGCAGCGAGGGCTGGTGCAGCCAGACATCTCTGCCAGCTGCTCAGCACAGCATAAGCCCAGGGCTCTTCACCCAGGGGATTTGCACCTTTTGGGGGAGGAATATGGAATGGGTGGCTGTTGCTAGATGGCATTTCTAATGATAGTTAATAAACTTGTTTTCTGGTTGCTGATTTCCTGACACAAATCAGAGATCGGTTCTCAGTACCAAAGTGACTCATTCTTCCTTGTGCGAGAGATCTGAAGACTGATTCATAAATAATGGCTTAGGGATGACGGAAATGAGATAAATTGCTTTCATTATAATTCACATAAAACAGCAGCAGAGTCTCTGCTTGCCACCATGGATTGAACAAATGTGCCAGCATGCACGTTTTTCATTTTGCAGCCGCTGATATTATGAAGTTGTTCCTGGACCTAACAGCTTTGAATGTTCATTTTTTAAAGTAATTAATATGAAGACCGATCCTGGAAAAAATTGCCTCACCCTCCATAAAGTTATTTGCAAGCTGTAGGCATCAATACTCGTTTGTGTGGAAATTTTTTTAAATACTGACAAATGGACAATTTGAAGTTCTTCAAGTGAGGAATTGCCTCCAAGATCTTTCTGGAAGCTCAGAGGAAATATGCTTAGGCAGTTCCATTTTATGAATATGATAGTGCTGCACTCCACATGCATCTGCACCTGCTGTGTTAGAAAGAGGCTTTGCAGCAGCAAACTGCAGAATGAACTACACTAGGGGCTTGGGGGATTTTTTTTCCACAAGAATAGTAACTTTATAAGAAATTATTAACAACTCCACCATTCTCGGTGGTATATGTCTTAGGAGATATCTTCCAAATGCAACTGTTTTAGAAAACAGCTGGTGAGAGATGGATGCAGACTTGAGGTGGGGCTTATCTGCCTCACAGAGGTTTCCTAAAGACTGAGCTGCTCAAGCCGTGTTCCCTTTAGGGTCATCAGAAAGAACGAGGCACTCCAGATTCAGTTCATCCTGTAATAGCCTTCTAAGATGGGTCAGATAAACTGTTCCTATTGCTCCCCACTGACCACATGCAGAGCTTCTGGGAAAAACCTCCAGCTTAGACTTTCATGTGCCCAAGCAATGCCACAGGAATCACTTTCTAAAATGACTGTTTTATTTCTCCAGAAGTTGAGCTATCCCAAGTATTTATACTGGAAAAATATAAAATAGGTCAGAGAGGGTGGAGGCGCTGAGTTACCAGGAATGGACATTAGGAGCTCTGGCACTCCAGCCCCAACTCCCAGATTTTGGCCTGCCAATCATGGAGAGCATCCAGCACCTGGACCAGGGCACCACCATTCTGCCTTCAGTGGAAATTTTTTCTACCAGGGTGCATGGAGATTAAGAAAAAATGTTGAGGGTTGGCAGTAGGCTGGGGTCTAAAATTTGAGCGTGCTGAAGAAAAAGGCAGCTGTCTGTAAGAGCCAGCTGTAGGAATCTGTTGGATGGGTCAGGTTGGCATCTCTGAGTAAAATAAAAGATGGAAGAAAGCATTTTGTATCTTCTCTAAGGAAGTCTTTGTAAAAGTGGCCTCTTCATAAATGCAAAGCAACTTGGTGGATAGTATCAATTTTATGTTAAGGTTCAAAAATAAAAGCTGGGCCATCAGAAACATCCTGAAACTTCAGCCTACCACTGAGTGACAACTGCATGAAACAGACCCAGAGCAGTGGAAAATTTTAAGCCATAAATTAGAGAGCCTTAAAACTAGTAGGCCATGCTGTTTTTATTCTGGGGGAGGTTCTTTATTAATTCATCTGTCTAAACATATGGATCTTGACAAATGAAAGCTGCAGGGAGGATCTGCTCCTGTCTTGCAATTGAAAACACTTAAAATCAAATCACTGCAAATATTCCTGTTACCTTCTCTTAAAGGAGCCGTTGCTTTCTATCAGTTCAGCTCACAAGGGCCCTATTTCCTGAAGTTAAAACGGAAAGAATTTTTAGTCTGAACCTTTTTCTTTTCCTTCAGGTAGTTACTGCCCACTTTTACTGAAAGGGGAGAGATAAGTCAAGTTTTTATTCTCTGTCATGTATCCTAAAGCTCCCATGTGCTGGACACCTGCAAAAGCTAGCAAAGCTAGCTTGTTTACTTAGTGCAATTTATTTGACCTTTAATATATTTGAGTAAGGATTTTATACCTAAGGCAACTTTACAGAACAGATTTGAAAGGTGACCTTCAAAGGAAACATCAAAATCTTTCTGAAAAAGGAAACTTTGGAAATATATGTGAAAAAGGCTGCTTTTCAGCTAACCTCCTGACTCAGGACTCCCTGGCTTTTTGGCACAGGGGCATATCAGAAAAATGAGTTCACCTTGCTCACAGCAGACCCGCAAACGCTATCGTACAATACCTAAGGGCCCGCGAATGGTGTTGGATGGCTAGTTTCGGTATTTCCATAATGAATGCCTTCTATTTGCTGGCTGGGGCAGTCATTCATCACTGGTTTTGATGTTAACCCACATTTTAATCCTTCAACTGCAAAACCTTTTTGCTGTTACTATCATGAAGCTGGGATTCTCTAGGTGAAATGGAGTTCTTAAAACTGGTTTCTTTGTTGTTTTTAACAACAAAGGTAAAACCCACAATAAGGCTGAACCTTCATGCTTTTAAGAATAACATTAAAACTCAATTTCCTCTTAGCTAAAAGCACAGGCTGCTACTAACTAAAAGAGTAAATACATCAAGTGAAGGAGGTAAGAGGTGCCAAAATCTGGTGTGTACCACATGCTACAGGAGAAGGTTCCCCCATCCCCTACAGCTTGTCCTGGAGCATTCATTGCACGTGAGACCCTGTGAAGGCATAGGCTGTGCCTGAGATGATATTTGCACATGAATTTTAGGATGACAGAGGCTGATCCTGCTACCAGAAAAAGATGTTTTGTCCTCTTCACCTCCAAATGCTCATTCCCAGCACTGAGATGCTCCTTCCTTTGTGCTGACACAGCCCTTTCCTAGAGCAAACCAGGCTGGGGAGCCATTGCAAGTTCTCTTCTCTCTGCTTCTACCATCTGCTCCTACCCCTCTTTTAGGGAGAGGTAGGAGCGGATGGGGTAGAGGGGAATATTTTATTTTAGTGGTTGTATAAATGTGCATAGTAGAGATGCACCTGCCTTACCTATTCTGGCCCAGCTAATGTCAGGCAGAAGGTTGCCCCTGCCATAGGCAAAGTCCTACAGCCAGCAGTTCTACAGGTCCTTAGGGGAAAACTGGCTCCACTTAGCTTTTTTCTGAACACAGCAGGCAGGGGTTTCCATGAGCTGCAACATACGATGCTGGTTTGACCGGCTTAAGGAATGCATTTGCCCCATGCAGAGCGTTTCTCTAGTATGGGCAGGTGTTAGAGCAGCACTTCTCATGCTGCAGGGCATGCCACATCTGAGGGACTGGGAATTCTTCATAATTTGTTACGGTGTGCAACCAGCACAAGGTCACCTGCCTCACTGGTGATCCCAGCCACGTCACAGATGAGGGACACTGCATGGAAGTGATGCTTCAGCGAGGGCTGCTGTCACAAAGTCCCCTTGGGAGCCACTGGGAGCTCTCCAGAGATGTCTGGATATAACATTTCCCTGAGATTCTACCCTTGCCTGTCAGGGTAGGGGGAGTTGAATTGCTTGAGGACAGCTACAAAAGGTCTGTCTGGTAGAAACAGAATTAAAAAAAAAAAATCAATTGCTGATGCCTGGGGAAGAAAGTGCCCCTTAAAAGTAAGTGAAACTGCTACCCAAGGCTTCCTGCCAAGACAGCTTGCAGCAGTATTTAATGGTTACACTACATGTATCTCAAAATTGAAGATTCTGTTTCACACTAAATCAGAGATGAACATTCATGATTAGGAAGTTTCTGCTTAGAAAATCATGCCTAGAAAATTTGGAGAGCATTATTTTTCACTCAGTTCTTTTTGCTTTTGTTTTTAGGATAGCATTGAGTTTAGAAACATCTGTAGCCATATGGCTTTACAAAGAGAGGGACAACAATTTGAGAGAGACTTACATGAAGCCCACCAGTGTTTGAAGACCATCACTGAGAAACTCATTCGTTCATTGGCAGTTTTCCCCTCAGATTCTTATATCCCGGTCCGATCTGCTCTGAGAGAAATCCTGCAAAATCTCCTGGCAATGTGAAACAGCAGGCTGCTTGGCCAAGGAATGAGCAAGGCCTACGAGCTATAGTGGTCCTATAAGAATAACAGATAACTTGAAAGGTGAATCCTGGAGATTTTGCTGTAGCAAGAGCTGCGGCTCTGACTTTACATCAGTGAAGACTTCCCAATGCAGATGATGTTCCAGCAAAGTACTGAATAGTCTTCTCATATCAAACTCATACCAAAGTCATGTTAATGGGAGCTGGGAACATCTCCAGAAGTTGCTCTGGAGGAACAGGAATTAATTCTTAAATAATAAGGTCTCAAAATGAATACAGAAAGATGGAGGCTGAGAAGACAACCATCAGAAATCTCTATTTTCTTCACAGCACAAGAAAATACATTTTCAAGTACTTATTTATGGAGCGGACACTTGAGAGAGACAGAGAAAATATAGTGCTTAAGTATGGACTCTGTCATGAGAAGGTATACAGCCTGATTATGCTGCAAATAAAGGTAGCCTGCTAAATCTTTACTGCATTTTACCATAATAAGCCAACAAACCAATGGAAAGTGAAGGTGCAGTATCTTCCGTTGAGAAAAGAGAAAAAAAAGAAGAAAAATATGTGGGACCAGTGGGATCAATCACTTTAAAGCAATAAAAGATCTTGGTAGATGATCCAGTGGAGGTGAATGGAAAGCAAAGCAAAAGAGGCATTAACACAGTGAAGCAAAGGTATTTATAAACTGAGGTGAAACATTTGTGAAGATTGCTTTGCAGAGCTTTCTCAGCCCCTGTGACTGTGCAGCAGACAGCATAAAACTCCGTTCTACTGCCAAATCAGGAGGGTTTATGAAGTCACTTACTTCTGTCAAACAGCTGCAGCTGTAAGGCTGAGAAGAGGCATTCCCCCCTTCTTTTTGCAATAAGATTTAATGTCTGTGTGATTTCTGAGCAGGAATAACGGCTTGTAAAACTTTTTTTTTTGTTTTTTTTCAAAGGGATAAATTAAGCTCCTTTTAACTGTGATTTGGGTACTAGGTGAGGGAATTTTGTAGACTCTGAGATAGAAAAGTATCTCTTTCCATTGGCTGGAGGAGTGAATTTCCACATGTGATTTTTTTTTCTTCTTTTTTTTTTTTTTTTTAATGTGTGATCATGAACATCATCAGCTGAATACTTTCCGAGTGTGGTTCCATACTCTGATTGATTTGCCATATTTTATGTTCACACTTTAAATGTTACACTGGTGTCATTCTCACAGCTATAATTAAGGCTACCTCAAAACACATATTCACTAGTTCTCAGTGTGAATGCAGACAACTGCCCTGGGTTGAAATTTTGCATGGGATGTCTCAGCTTAGAATTAATTTAGAAATGGGAAGAAAAAACATGAAAGTCAGGCCAGCACCAGATATCTCCTTTTTTTTTTTTTCTTTTGAGTGTGACTCCCTCCCTCAAGGGAAGAGGAAAAAGGGCTCTGTTGGGAGCAGAACACGGTGGTGTTTGCCAAAGTGTTGTGATCTCCAGGGCAACGCTGAGCATAATGGCAGGCAGCAAACAAGCGGAGGGGATGCACACAAAGGTGTTATACACATCCCTATACAGGTATTAGTGAGTGTGTATCTACTGTCGTTGGCACCACCCTTCATAGCAAAGGGACAGAGGCCTGAAGAAGTCCTGTGAAATGAGTCTTTTGGCTATTTTTCTAATGTTATCCCCTCAGAGGAGAGATATGTGGGCAGCAGAGAGGCCGGGGGAGGAAACCTGTGTGAAGGCAGCTGCAGCCGCAGCTCTGAGGTCCCCCTGCTTTGCAGAGCGCAAAGCGGTGCCATTGCCCCCTTGCTTTGGTGTGACAGCCACCCACTGGAGCCCAGACCCCTCTCGCCCTGGTTGCGAGGGGCTGTTTCTTTATTTTCCACCGTTTAGGCAGACCACTCCCTGGCTTTCTACAGTTGTTTCTATTAATTCACTCTATCTGCTCTCACACACAAGCACCCAATTACAGGGTCTGTGTTCCAGTATCTTCAGCAGGGCATTAGCCCCAAGCACAAATGGTTTTATCTCCAGTTTCATTAAAAAGTCCTTTAAAAGAAAAGCTTCCCTAAGGACTCTCCATACTCCTCACTTGTATCCAGCTCAGTGCACTGAAATCCTGGTCTGAAGATCAATAGCAAGATCCCCTTGACTTCACCAGGGCCAGAATCTGAGCTATGCTCTCCAAGTCAAAGCTGTCATCATCAGCATTGCTAACAGAGTTGGCATCGGGAAGGCTCTGGAAAAAAAAAAACCAGCAGGCTGATTTCAACTCTCTTTGCCCAGTCACATGCATGCGCACACAAAAGTGATGACCAAGTACAGAGGAACGAAAGCATTTGGCAGGTAATTTTCTCTTCAAGCTTCTAAGAAACTAGCAAGTGCTACAGATTAAAAGTACATTATATCTAAAAAAATACTCCGGCCACAGTTCCACCAAATTGGACAGGTTCCCTTCTGTATTGCTCTAGGCCTGCAGAGATCCCTAGCAGGTAAGAAACACAAGACCCGGAGACTTAGGGGAAATTTAGGCCTTCTGAATATGACTCTTCATGTTTTTTACAAGAATTAGTGTTTATGCTGAAAATTTCCAGAACTCTTTCTTTCCCAAACATTCCTACTTAAAATGAATATTTTGATTCAAGGCCATTTAAAAAGAATACATTGTTAAATTCTTTGAAATTCTGGGTAGAAATCTAAGAATCCTTTGGGAAACTTCGTCTTGCATGGGACTATACAGCGCAGGTTTTCAATTCCTCTCCTTGTCCTCGAGATGATGGTGCAACAGAATGGAAGGGCAATGGGTTCTCAGGCCCTGAATCTGCAAACACTTTGAGTATGGTTTCATGACTCAAAGTGCTCACATTACTATGGTTTAATAAGTTACCACCCCTCAGCTGAGCTGTGGCAACTGCCTGTGCACATACAATTAGCTCACCCTAATTGCAATATGTGCAACTCGCCCCCTTTCAGGAGATCAGTGCAGCTGCACATTTATATCAAGTTACTCCTTGGTATGTTTGAGGCTCCAGGCCCTGTCTCATCATACCTTAATCGAGATGGAGTGTGGTAGCAGATATAAGCATCTGACATGCCCCTGAGGTGGGGATTCACAGCTCGCCCGCCTTTGTGGCCTCGGCAGGCTGGCGGACCCCCGCCATGGCGAGCAGCCCTCAAGCTAGGGTGCAAGCTGCTCTCTGCAGCATCATGTTTGCTATGCAGCAGGCGAAAATCAGAGCATCGTAGAGAATAGCCTGCCTCTGACGCAGGAAGCGAGGATGGTGCAAGGGGACCTGCTGCCCTCGCTCAGTGGTGGCTATGTCACCAGTTCGTGCATCACCGGCACGGCTGCCACACCTAAAAAAACCTCACTCTTTTATGCTAAGATACTCCAGTTTGGGTTCAGATGGAGAACAAACACTGTTTGCTCTTCTGTGATTTCATATACCCACCCCAACATCCTGCTCCGGAGCATCTGTGTTTCAGAGCTCTCTGTATGCATCTTCCCTTTTCTGTTGTGCTTTCCAAATAACACCACCCAATTTAGCACAACTGCTGTGCATACGATCCACAAAACCAGCCTGTTCGTCTGGGTTATGTATTTACATCTCCTGCTACCAGGCATTTGATGAAACACCTTCCTCCTCCTTACCGGTCTTTTTGGGCTTTGATGACTCAAATCCTCACTCACGTGAGCAGCCCTTGCTTGAACACGTACTCTGTTGTTTCAACTGGGTCTTCCTACAGTAGCGTCTAAAGGATCAGGATGTTTCCCACCAGCATGCCAGGTTTCAAGCACAAGATACACTTGCTACGTCAGGAAATTAGTGAATAAGAAGCTGAACCGGCAAAGAAACCCTGAGCCTGAATGCATCAACGATTCTATCTGATAAAAGTATTTTCCTATTATACTCAGCACCTGAGGCTCAGGTTAACAAATGGGATAAAGTAGTCCAGGAAAATAGAAAACGTATATAGTAACTCAATAAAAATGTACACACACACCCTTTTTATTGCATGTGTAGAACTACTTGAATTTTATTTCCAAAATCTAAATATTGATGAAATTTCAAGACTGAAAAAATAAATTAGAAAAAACGTTAATGATTTTTCAGTAAATATTTTTTCCTAAATAGATTTCATGCTAACTGCCCTGCATTTTTTTTTTTTTAGCTGCTTGAAATAGCTTGAGATTTAAATCAGAAAAGAATCCTGGAACATTTTTTTCCAGAAGGTGTTAGTTTTTGCTTTGACCAGTCCTATCATATAGGTAACCTTTTTATATCCCTGTAATAAATTTCATCTGTCATTCACCTTTGAGCCGTGCACCTGCACTCACGAATCCCTATTCTGGGACTGCTTTAGCCTTTCAAATTGCTGACCAGCTTCAAACAAGCACAGCTGCTTGTTTGTCAAACATTAAAGTGTGTTTCCTTCACAGCCAGCTCCAAATACTTGGTCCTAGATCAATGCCAGGATAAATGTGCAATAGCTGGTGAACCACCACAGCTAGAAATTGAATATTTTAGGCTGAATATCCCATTGCTTGGAAGTGGCTGTCACTTTGAGCCTACCCAGACAATTCAGAGGTTGCTAAATTTGTGTTTAGTTATGTGCAGGTTTGCATGTGCTACAAGTATGTGCAAAGCATCCAGGTCTGCTCTAGGAAAACTTATTTTGTAATTGCACCCCACCACAGAATGTTCTGGTTTCTCTCTTAGGTTTGTTTGTGGCCATTACAGAAGGACAGCGTGCAAAGAGCGCTGTTACGGCAGTGGCATCAAGTAAGCAATGGAAAGAAGAGTTGTCAGAGTTAAGTTTTCCTGCCAGTCCTTCAGTCCACTCCCTTTTGCACAGGCATAAAGTGAAAGTTTTTAATTCCATGATTACAAACTCTTTACCTGAAGGCTCCTGCTCCACTGTGCACACAGAACGGACAGCGTTGACCAAATGAGCAGCTATGTGGTATTTAGTTCAGCACGCGGCTTCGTGTTTGCTGCCCG